ACTGCCTTGACCGCAGACGCGACCCTGACAGGCCTCATCATCTCGGAGGGTAGCGTTGCCATGGACCCCGTAAAGGTCCGTGGAGTCCTTGACTGGCCAACCCCAACCAAAGTGAAGGAAGTGCAGTCCTTCCTGGGGTTTGTGAACTTCTATCGCCGGTTCATCAGAGACTTCTCTGAGAAGGCACGCCCGCTCCACAAGTTGACCCGAAAGGCCCAAATCTGGAACTGGGGCACGAACGAAGATGATGCCTTCTGCACCCTCAAAGAAGCTGTCACCACTGCCCCAGTTCTCTCCTTCCCCTCCGACTCCAGCCACTTCAAACTCGAATGCGACGCCTCCAATTTCGCAACCGGTGCGGTCCTCTCCCAGCTCCAACCCGATGGGGAGTTCGACCCGGTGGCATTCATGTCCAAGAGCTTTACGGACGGGGAACGTAACTACGAAGTGTATGACAAAGAGATGCTCGTGATCGTCCGAGCTCTTGAGGAATGGCGACACTTCTTAGAGGGTGCTGAAGAGAAGGTCGAGGTCTACACCGATCACTGCAACCTGGGGTACTTCCGGATGGCCCAGAGGCTAAATCGTCGCCAGGCCCGATGGTCCCTCTTCCTCTCCCGCTTCCACTTCACCCTTGTCCATCATCCTGGGAAGCTCATGGGAAAACCGGATGCACTCTCCCATCGTGCTGACCATCCGAAAGGGAAAGACGACAACGAAGGGTTGACCCTCCTCCAACCAGCCTGGTTTGAGGCCCGTGCAACAGAGGCATTCTTGGTGGAAGGTGAGGAGGTAGGCATCTTAGATCGGATACGCAGGGAAAAGGACCACGATGAGAGGGTAGTAAAAGCCATGTGAGAGCTAGGAGAGGGGACGCTAAGGTCGGATGAATGGGAAAGGCAAGGCGAACTGGTCCTGTATTGGGGCATGGTATATGTCATATCTGTGCATACCCGATCCCGACCCGACTTCCGGACCTCCTCCTTCCCCACCTCCGGAATCCTACCCTACCGCTGTCCGTTCCGATATTTACCTTCGGTCCTGGCACCACACCACCCTTCACCTCCCATGCCACCTCCACTCCTCCGTCACTCTCCTGTCCTATCTCCGTCCGCTCCGATAACCACCTCGGACCGAACACCACCCCTCCTCCTACTCTTCCTCTTACTCCTCCTCCTACTCCTCCTCCTACTCCTCTGCTCCCTCCTCACAACACCTCCACCCTTCCGTCATCCTCCTACTCTTCTCCCATCCGCTCCGATACCCACCTTCGGACCTGACACCTCTCCTCTCTTCCTTCCCCCCTCTTCCCTCTGGTCCTCTTCTGCCGACCTCCCACCAAGTTACGACCTTCCGCCACTGACCCATACTTTGTACTCAGGCACTGCTCGTACCTTTGCTCCGAGCCTCTGTCATAGTTCCTACCTCGGACTTTGACTCCACCTCGGGCTTAGTCCATTGCATTGGTGACCTCATACTACGTAAACACCATTGCCAATATTCCTCGGACTTTCAACCCCGCCTCCATAAGCTCCGCAACCTCCGAGCTTCGTGGATCATCTTCGGCACTTTTGCCGCTTGTAATGTATTTCTCGCATTTTCCCCTCATCCCTATTTGGACTGCTGCTTCTTCCCATTCTAGCCAGTTAGTCATCATCCCCACTTCCCCTCATCCTCCTGCCCCTCTGGGCCTCGCCCTCCTTACCTCCTTTCGGACATATCACAGGTTCTGCCTTATGACCTTCGGTACCGCTCCACTTCTGTCATCCCTTTGTTCCCGTTTGGACGCCTTCATTCCGATTCGGTTCCCCTTCGTTTCCTTGTGCTTTTGCCCCTCCATTATATATATCGGCACTTGTACATACTCATAGGAGGCTGTCAGGGACCGACCCGGGGTCGAGAACGCCCGGGTGTATCGCCCGAGGCTGAGGGTCCGGTAGGTATGACACGGGCACGCGTAGCAACGGGCCCGAAGCAGACAAGGGTCCCTGGCCACTAAGACTAAAGTGGGAAATGTGTTATTGTCATTATCAAGGGAGGTGTAAGCTACTTGCCTAAAGTGGGAAATGTGAGAAGAAGGTTGCTTCTCAGTTCCCACTTAGGCTATGTTTATATACATGTGGTTGAAGGCCACGTGGGAAGCGCCACGTCATCTGAGCACACAGCCACCCCCGTCTGGGTACCTCTGTAAGAGGTCCTAGGAGCGTCCGGTGTGCGGGGGGTTGTCCGGTGTGTCCGGGTTCGGGCGCGTTACACTGCAGCCGGGTCAATGGTACATTGATACAAAGGAAGTCGTCCATGTGATAAGAAAGGAATAAAGAGGAGAGAGAATAGAAAAGAAGGAGAAGGAGAAAGGGAAGGGAGAAAAAGGGGAAGAGGGGGGAGGTCGGGAGGAGTGGATGGTGGGGCACCGGGTTAGGTGGGGCCGGGTCAGGCGGGCGTGCCCTGACAGAGGCTCAGTCTGAAATCGACCTGAAATGCCCCCTAGAGACTTCCTGCTCGCCTACTGTGAAATTAAGGACCAAATGGACAAACAGCAATGGCACAGCGCTCCGCTTGAGTCACTGAGGCCAAGGTCCTTCCACGCTAGGTCTCTGATTCCACTCCGGAGTCATCTGAATCTGCCTGTTCTAACACCGACCTCTGCTCCGGGCTCCTGGAACTCCGAAACTGACTCCGGAGCCCCAATTCCCTTCCGTCACCTTCTCCTTGCCAACTTCCAAGAGGTTATCCCACCTCCGGCTCCGACACCACCTTCAGTCTGACTCCGGAACATTCCAGGTCCGACCTCAACCTCGACACCTTCCAGACGAGTGTCAGGGACTCATCCGGGGTCGAGGGGGTCCGGGTATAGCGTCCGGGACCGAGAGCCTGGCGGGGGGCGGATCGGGCGTGCGTACTGACAGGCCCGATGTGGGACAGTGGTCCCTGGCCACTTAGACTGAAGTGGAAGGTTGAGAAGAAGGCTACTTCTTCAGTTCCCACTTCAGGTTCGTTTATATACATGCGGCTTGGATCACATGACGGGTGCCACGTCACCCTCGCACACAGCCGTAACCACCCGGGTGTCTCCGTGGGAGATCCCGAGGGTATCCAGTGCAGGCGCGCGTGCTGGGCACAGCAGGAGGTCGCCCGAGGTGCCCGGGCCAGGTACATGGTGGGCGCGCTGCAGATGGGTCAATTGTACATTGATACAGAGAAAGTTGTCCATGTGGAATAAAGGGAGAATAAAGAAGACGTAAGATAAGGAGAAACTGAGGAGGGGAGGATGAGGGGGGAAGAAGGAAAAGGGGGAGGAGGTAAGGAAGGGTGGACCAGCGGGGTACCGGGTCAGGTTGGGCCGGGTGGAACCGGGTCAGGCGGGTGTGCCCTGACAACGAGCATGCAACACCTATGCTCCCAACTCCGGACCTCTGCTCTGGAATCCTGTTCACGTCTCCGTCTCTGGAACCTCTGGTCTTAGCTCTGACCTCAGACTTTGACCCCACCTCCGCTTATACCCATTGTATTGGTTAGCTCATTCCATTTAATCACCTTTGCCAATATTCCAGAGTTTAACTTCCAAGTTCGGACTTTCCGGACTTACTTCGGACCTTGCAACTATTGCATTGCTCCATTCAATTCCGCTATTCTCCCTCATTCCTATTTGGGCTGCTGCTTCCTTTCTATTCAGTCAGCTGGCCATTCCCCACTCCCATCCTCCTTGGGCCTTGGCCCTTCACTCCTCCTTTGGGAAACACCATTGAGTCAAACCCTTGACCCTTGGTGTTGTTCCTCCCTCCAGCTCCCTTTGTCTCCTTTTGGAGTACCCTTGCTTCTTTTGATTCCAGACCCCTCCTTATATACAATGTACTTAGTAACTTGTAACCTCAGTCTGAAATCGACTTGATTTCCCCCCAAGAGACTTCCCCTCTGCTAGATCCGAAATTAGGGACCCCCAGGACAACCAGCAATGGCACAGTGCTCCACATGAGTTGCTGAGGCTGAGGTCCTTCCATGCTAAGTCTCTGATTCCATTCCAGATCGTCCGAATCTGCCCGATCTAACAGTTAGGCCCCAGTTACTTGTCAGGGCACACACCCTGACTAGCCCGCATCTGGACCTGCATGTGTGCTCCACCCTGCATGCTCTGCCCTGCATGCTCCAGGCCCGGTTCCTATTCCTCATGTGACTTCCGGGTATCCCCGGAAGTTTTCCTGATATTGTGGCCACTGTGGGAAGATGAGAAGTTAGCTTCCTTCTCATCTCCTTACCCACAGTAGGTTGTGCCCTGGATAAGGCTGGTTACACCATGGGGCTGTGGACCATAGGGGAGGGTCATGGGGACCCGGGAGTCGTCCCCTGACATTACTCAATCGAACAAGAATAATTGGGTGGAGGTGGTTAAACCCCAGCCTCCTGGAACAAGAATAGGAGGCAACGAAGGTGGTCAGACCTTCAACGCTCTTGAGGAAGTTAAGCTAGGCAGCCAAGGTTGTTAGACCTTTCCTGCTTGTTGGACAAGAAATACCCCATCCCACTCATCGAGTGTGAGCAGGGGTTACCAAGCCGAGGGGACATCAGTCCTTCTTGGCTTTGCCCTTTCAGGCAGGCATGGACCCACTAGCCTGGGGCCCTCTAGACAGGCCCACCACTGCATTCTCAGCAGAGGGGGCCTGCATCTGTTGGGCCACCAGGAAACGTCTCGGCCTTGGGGCCTCTTCCACAACACCATTGTCCACCAACATTCCCTCAGTGTGGGGAACGGGGTTATGGGGCAGGGTGGGTTCTATTACCTGTGAATATGGTAACGGTGGATTATTATCCACCATTGTGTAGTGAGGAGGCAGAACCTGGGGGGGCCCCGAAATGGCAGAACTAGGTTCACTTACTTGCAACCTGGAAAGGTTGTATGCAGTGGTGCTAGTTGCCTTCATAATTTGTGCCGCTTCTGAGCAGTAGTGCTTCCAGAGGCAGCAAAGAAGATACTTCTTCCCTGCCTCGATAGTATTTTCGAAGTTTCAGGGATCATCCCCGAAATGTCCATCAAGTTCAGTGGCAGACATGTTCTGTCCGTTCACAAACTTAATGTCGAAGAATTGTCCATGAAGTTGACGAGCCTCCAGCAAAGCGCTGTTGAACCCATTCCTCATTTCATGGTCGAGCCATTTCAAGTCCACCATGAACTTGAACCCTTCAATCGAGTTCAAGAATGGGTGAACCCAGTCATTCCACCGCTTTTGGTGATGGTTGCGACTGTCCGACACAGGCCAGTTTTTGCCACTGATGGTGACACCAAAATGGAAGTCACCTTGGAAGAACGTGCCTGGGATAGGGACGTTTCTCCAGGTCCCAGCAGTGGCAGAGCAATTCACCTCAGTGAACCACAAATACCCCTCTGGGACCAAGCTAGGCACCTCGCTGGGTTGGGGAGGAGGAGGTGCTGTCATGGCACCAAAAGAGGATGAGGGCCCTTGAGGCCCTGGAGGAGGAATGGGAGCTGCATGGTGACCGTAATGGCCATCCATGAGGCCAGCAAGAGGAACCCTTACCCTTGTCGGGACAGGAGGTCTCACAGCGCAGTTATGCACCTCCACATTCAAAGCAGACATAGGGACCACTGGTGCCCTATGCTGGCTGTGTTGAGGCAGTATGTGTGGCATACTTACCCTCAACATGTGAGGGATCTTACGAGGGCGAGAGCCCTTGAAGACGTTAGTTTCCTTTTCCAAGCGATCAATCTGTTTTTCGAGGTCATTGCACTTGTCTTGGAGCCATGATTGGTGACAGGAAGAGTTTCTCAACTCAAGATTGAGATGAACGTTCTCGATCTCAAGCCTGTGGAAATTCTCCTGTAGTTCCTTATTCTCGTTTCTGAGGTTATTGGCCTCATCACGAGATTGGGAGAGTTTGCCTTTGTCATATCCATCCCCGGCCATCGACTTCCGGTCCCTCCAATTCCTCCGGTCTACCTCCGCTCCTTCTTCACTACCCTCGGAGCTCCTGTATTCCACAATCCCCTCGGTACCCCTCGATGGTCACCACCCCCTCCTTTCAATTTATTACCTACACCTCCCTAAGTACGGAGCCCCGAAGACTTCCGGACAGCTCCGATGTCCGCTAGCGCACTCCCGCCTCCGCTGGGCAATACACTCGCCTGCCCTGCAGAGCCCACCTTCAGGCCTATCCCTCCTTTCCGTTTCTGGGTTATTGCCTGCCTTTCCGTTAACCCCATGACCCGACTCGTCAGTAATATTCAGTCGGCTAATGTTTAACCCCATTAGCTCCGCTCCGTTCGGCTCCGCCATTTGCGGACCCGTCTTCGCTGTAACCATATATATATCCACCTTGTACATAGGTTACACTTCAGTAATAAAATCGACTAGAGTTAACCCCCTTCGGTTCTGGTTGCCAGTTAGTAAGTTAGGGCATGGACATGTTACTAGGCACAGCGCTCTTGGCATAAGTCACTGAGGCCGAAGCCCTCTGCCACGGAGACTTTCCTTCGTCTCAAACCTGGTCTCTGACAGCCTTCCAAAAGGTGGACTCGTTGACTTGCTTCCTTAAGAAGGTTGCCTAGTATTGAGTCATTTGAGGCCGCAATGGGCGGTCTCACTGGCTCTTGCTGCATGTGGGGATTATACCCCCACATGCCTGGGGCAAACATTGGGTATGGTGGCACCTGCACAGGCACCATCATTTCTGGGGTGTAATTTTGCCCCATGTATTGGGGCTTGTTCAACGAATAGTCGACTTGGGACTGAGTAAACTCACCTGTGGCAGGAGACGACTGGCCTGATATGACCGGAATAGGCGCTGGGTCCGCTGGTCACAAATCCAGGGGGAGGACTGAGTCTAGCTCGTCAATGCCAGGCGTTAACAGCTGATTGTCAGAGACCAGACTTGAGACGAAAGAATGTCTCCGTAACGGAGGGCTTCGGCCTCAGCGACTTCTGCCAGGAGCGCTGTGCCTAGTGACACGTCCGTGCCCTAACTTACTGACTGGCAATTAGAACCTAGGGGGAACTCTAGTTGATTTTTCTACTGGGGCGTAACCTATGTACAAGTGGGATATATATATGGTTACAGCGGAGACGGTTCCGCAATTGGCGGAGCCGAACGGAGCGGAGCTAACGGGGTTTAACCATTAGCCGACTGAATATTACCGACAAGTCGGTTCATGGGGTTAGCGGAAAGGCAGGCGATAACCCAGAAACGGAAAGGAGGGATAAGCCCGAAGGTGGACTCTGCAGGGCAGGCGAGTGTATTGCTCAGCGGAGGCGGGGGTGCGCTAGCGGACGTCGGAGCTGTCCGGAAGTCTTCGGGGCTCCGTACTTAGGGAGGCGTAGGTAATAAATTGGAATGGGGGGGTGGTGACCATCGAGGGGTACCGAGAGGATTGCGGAATAACGGGGGCTCCGAGGTTAGTGAGGGAGGAGCGGAGTTGGAACGGAGGAATCGGAGGGACCGGAAGTCGATGGCCAGGAATGGATATGACAGTAACTATATATACTTAACTTGTACATAGGTTACACTCCAGTAATAAAATCGACTAGAGTTTACCCCCTTCAGTTCTGGTTGCCAGTTTAGTAAGTTAGGGCACAGACATGTTACTTGGCACAGCGCTCCTGGCACAAGTCGCTGAGGCCGAAGCCCTCCACCACAGAGACACTCCTTCGTCTCGACCAGGTCTCTGACAGTCATGTGGACTATTGAATGGAAAACAGCAGTAATTCACTGGATTTGCCCAACGCGGAAATGACTAGGTGAATTACATATATTTTGATGTTCAGTTTTGAGATTGAACATAATCCAAAACATAAGCATAAGGTGCCAGATGGATTATTTAGGCATAGGAAAGGAGGGGAAGACTCTGACTATAGTGATGGAGAATTGGATGTGGAAGATGGAGTTAAATTGGTGAAGGAAGTAGAGGAGTTGTATAGCAATGATTTCAGAAATACAAGTGCAGCAGAGGTTTGGGAACAGGAATTTGATGCAGATGAAGAAATTAAAATAAGGAGAACCTGCCTAATGAGAAAAGACAGAGAGTGTAAAGCCTTGGAGGTGGTTTGGGCTGATCCGTCAAGAATTAGTAGGCTGAATGCAATAGGAGATGCATTTGAGGGCAAAGGAGTTGAGCCCCAGCCAGAGGAACAAATGAAGAAGAATAATCATCCTCATCGAGTTAAGGAGTATGATTTGGAAGGGTATTGGAAGGCAATTATCACCTACCTTCAAAATGCGAAGTTACTGGAAAAGGAATAAGGATAAGCCCCTTCTCCAAGTCGTGCTGAACCCAGAGATTAGGACGAGAATAATCAGTGATGCCCACGATGGAAGTGGACATAGGGGAAGGGATCCAACATATCAGAAGATTAAAGACACATATTGGTGGCCGAATATGTACCACCTAGTCAGTGAATTTTGTCAGATGTGTCATGAATGTCAAATGAGGTCTTCACAAAAAAATGCAGTACCAGTTCAACTGCAATATGTGAAAACCTTGTTAAGGAGATTTGATGCAGATACAGTTAATATGCCGAAAGGAAAAGGAGGTTTTAAATACCTCATTGACATTGTTGACAATCTCATGGGATGGACGGAAGCCAAAGCCACAAAAAATATATGCTCAGAGACCATTGCTAACTTGTTATTTGAAGTAATGTGTCGATTCAGGTGTATTTTTCAGCTAACGGTAGATAATGGAAGTGAGTTTCAGGGAGCTACGCAAGTGTTAATGGAGAAATATCAGGTTCCCATTGTAAGAACTACAGCATACAATCCCAGGGAAAATGGAAAGTGGAAAGAGGACATGGAGTGTGGATTGAAAGTATTTGGAAGGTGTTACAGGGCCGCACTGATAGGTGGCCCGAGTTTGTGGGATATGCATTATGGGCGGATAGGGTGACAACGAAGAGGAATACAGGCTATATGCCCTATTTCTTACTTTATGGTCAACACCCACTCATGCCATTTGATGTCATGGATTTGACCTTCCATGCCTTGGACTGGCTGAAGGTCTCAACCACGAGGGAGTTAATAGCCATGAGGATTAGACAGTTGTCACAGTGGGAGGAATTCATGGCGATTAGCTCATATGAGTCCAGGAAGAAAGCTGCCGATGCCTTTAATCAGAAGCATTTGGCAAGGATAAGCGTGGAGAAATGGTCTTAGTGTCTAATGAGAGGTTGAAGACTCAGCACGACTCCAAGGGTCACTTAAGGTGGTTTGGACCTTATGTGGTACTTGGGAGATTGAAGTCGGGCGCGTTTTTGCTTCAGGAATTGGATGGCACAATTATGAAACGTCCAGTGGCATGGAAAAGAATTAAATTGTACCATCATCGTAAGAACAAAGACGCAATTGTTAGAGTGGTGCTGCTTAAGGCAGAGGAGGAAAAGTACGATAAGGAAGTAGATGTTGTGGATGGGTCGAAAGTTAAGAGGAAATTTGGGCTTCTGCAACCATGGGAACTGAAGGGAAAAGCGAGGGATGAGTATTGGGAAGGGAAATTTAGGCAGATGAAGCTTAGACTAACTGAACCTGACCATCCTGAGCTTGTGGAGCCGGATCTAGATGAGAAGGAGTTGGAAAAATTCATCAAAGAGGATGCGGAGTTTTGGGATTTCAGACATGAGACTTACCCAGGAGTGGATGGAGAACTTGTTAGGTTTAAGAATAAGCCTACAGGAGGGCCAGAGATTTATGAGTGGAATCCTTATGGCAAGGGATATTTTGTACCGCAACAATCTTTCCCAGTGGCAGCACAAGCTGATGGGAAGCTAAGAGGGAGCATGGTTGGCTTAGGGAAGCCTATAGTTGAAATGATACTACCTAAGGGAGAGGTAGTGAAGAGCAAGGGTGGTGAGGACCTTATGACAGCAGGAATACAAGACCAGGAGGAATTTGAAATGACAGGAACTCTGGGCAGAGTTTTAACCTCTGACCCTTTTACCATGACTCTTGAGTGCAATATGGCAAACCATGGACAAGGAGTCCAGTGTTCCCAGACTACACGTCAGAATGAAGAAACTAAACAAATCATCATTTCTATCAGTCTTTGGTCATGCATGGATGGAAGAAATAATTTCAATGCACACCATTACCAGCTTCCAGGTAACAGGTGTCTATCCAGTTGATCCATCTGTTATCCATTCGGATCAACTTGCACCAAGCATCCAGCATTCCACCTGGGGAGATCTTCCACTCCCTGTGGCCTCTCCTGTTAAGCGAGTTATGCACTTCCACAGTCAGCTGATGTCCCACACTTACCAACGGGATCACACTCCTTTGCCAATTGATGACTCACAGGACATCAGCATGTACTTGGGGGTTATGAGGACAGGTACAGTGGGGGAGAAGATGAGAATGATGGACCAATCATCAATCCTATGCTGTTTGCTGTGTCTCCATTGACAATCCCACATGCAGCCTTATCCCCAGGAAGCGGGGGTGATAGACCATCTTCATCTTCATCTCTTGGCACTACCATCCCCCCAGCCCATGCCAGTGCAAAGAGGCATGCAACAGGTGACCTAGAACAGATTATGTCATTCTCTTCATTGTCAAATTGTATTGTGTCCTCCTCACCTCTCTGTTCAACATTTGAGCTTCCCAAATGTGCATATGGACATCTTGGTGACCTGTCACCTATCAAGTGGGATCTCACAGACAACTGTGACTTGGCATCAAAGACCCAGACCGAATTGATGAAAGGAATCTATGAAACTTGGCACGAGTTTCAGAAGGCAAAGGTGTTAGTGGAGAGAGCCATCAATGCAGTAGATGCGACAAATGGTCAGCTGGCATTAGGAGGGATGTATGTGTCTAAGGTCCAGACACAACTCCTGACACAGGAGGAGACAGAGAAGTCAAAGGAGGATGGTGGCTGCATCAAGGGAACATTTGGTTGGGTTCGGGTTGTGATACATCAGGGCTTTTTGAGGGACCAAGCCAGGTGTAATCGAAGAAAATTAGATGAGGGAGAGTTGGAGAGGCTAAAGGAAGAGGCCAGGGAATGGTGGAAGAAGTTCAATGAGGCACAAAAAGCGGAGGTTGCAAGATGGGGTGAAGAAAAAGGGCGCTTTGCTGTACTCAAACAGAAAGTATCTCCTAAGCCATCAGAGGTCTTAATGAGGGCCTGGATGGCCAAAAACTACCCACAGCTTCAACAGAACAAAAATCCTGTGACACTGGAGGCCCTGGAGACCTGTCAGGGACGGTACAGGAGCGGCAGGGGTAGTGGCATAGCCCCTGGCGCTAGCAGCCCAGGCGGCAGGGGAGTAACGGGAATGTATGGCGAGTGGCCCTCACTCAGGCTTGCGTCCCTGTCTGGCTTCTTAGGCTGAAGCAGTAATGGTTGTTATTAGAATGAAAGGCTAAACTAAACTAAGCTAGACTAAGGTACTTGCCTGAAGCAGTAATGAGAAGAAGGCTACTTCGGTTCTGCTTCGGCTCGGTTTATATACAGGCAGGAACAGGTCACGTGGGGGTGCCATGTCAGCCCGGGCAGAGCCAGGTTATTGTGGGTGGCTCTGCAGGTAATCCCAAGTGTTAGAGGAGAGAGGTACAAGTGAGGGTGCATGGCATTGCAAGAGGGCTCATGGCTCTCGATGCCGACTAAGCTCATGGGGCCAAACCCTCCCTAAACTCCTACTCTCACTCTTGGCTTTGCTATGCTCTCGATCCTTGACTCTGTGGTGAGTTCTCCAGGATTTCCGCAAGGTCCAGGCTCAACAAATCCACTACCCACTCATTGCAGGCTAGATTGTTGCCCTTATTCCTACTGTTGGAATTCCACTCACTCTCACCAACTCTAGCGCATCCTAGCACCTTAGAGAATTGGGGGAGGGGAGAACTTCTTTCTCCAAAATCCAGTATGTACAGGATTATTATTTTTAGAAATAATAGATGGGAAATATTGGTACCATATGGCACCTGGGTACCTTATTAGGCGAAATAATAAAAAAGGGTAACAGTATCAATAAAAGAATATTGATCAATACCTGAAATGATGCAAAAATATGAAAATATAAGAAAATAAGCGATATCTCAACGGATTTGCGGAATTAAGAGCCAAAATTGGAAATGCAGCCGGAGATAACTCTCACGCAGCCGATAAGCATTTTTACCGATTTATTAGATACTGTGGGAACGAGTGAGGCTGGAATTCTGGGTTGCCGCTTGAGATTCCCATGCCTGCACTCGTGACCTTCCATGCCTAACCTGTCCAATGCAGAACTCCGTCAAATCTCGACCGATTGGGGCGTTCTTGGTATCGTCAGAATCGTACGAATTAGGACTATTTTTAGGTACCAAATTCGTATCGAGTTGTTGCGTGAATGGAAGTGGTTCCCTAATTGTAGAATCGGGTATCTGAGCCGAGTCTGTGCATGGGCGATTATCCCGCCTACAGTGTATCCAGCAGTGTGGTACCCATATGGAGTACTTGGCATCAGATGCGTCCATGCTACACAGGTAAGAGGAGAGGTTGTCCGTATACAGAAAGAAAGACAGAAAGAAAGAAAGAAAGAGAGAAGAAAGGGAAAGGAAAGAGGAGGAGTGGGAGGGTGTGGAGCGGCGTGCCCTGACAAGAACATAGAACAAGCGATGATGGACAGAGACAACAGTCCAGTGTGAGCATGTGAAAGCGGTGTCACAGCATGTCACACTTCACCATTGAGGGGTGAATGGATTGTTTTAGTGCTTCCTTGCATGCTCACCTTGTAACATAGAAATCTTATAATACTGGTTGTGACTCAGGTTTTGCAACACTATTCGGATTAGTGAAATGTTCACTGTTGGGGGGTGAAAAACTGTAAGGCAGAGAGCTCTAACACATTCGTTTGATCAATTCTTAACTACTAGCAACTCTTTTTTTTGGTTCTAAACTTGAACAATTTCACTTGTTTAACATTTCAAGTCTCATTTCAACTAAATGTCACTGGATAAAAATAGAATAAATCACCTGAAAGTCATAGTGAATTTAATGGTAAACAAGAGTAATTTGAAATAAAGAACTGCGACAAATGCGGCACAGTCAAGTTCTAATTAAATCATTAAAATAGCTTAGGTGAGGAAGGACAATAAGGATTCTAGGTGCAGTCTGACTGGAGCAGAACTGCAGTTCAGCGCAGCTGAGTGCAGCAGAACTGTATGTCAGGGACGTGTCCGGGGTCGAGGGGGCCCAGGTGTAACACCTGGCGCTGAGGCCGTTGCGAGGTGTAGAGCGGGCGTGCGTAGTGACAGGCCCAATCCAGGACGAC